GGGCGGTACAGGAAAACAAAAGGCTCCAAACCCTGATATCTGAGACCTTTTGCTAACTTGGCCTCTCACAGAATTCCTCAGAGGATGGGTAACTTTGAAAGGACAGAGGAGCATGAATTTGTTCCAAGTCCATCCGGTACAAACTAAAGCTCATTGCAGACACAGGAAATGAACAGGGCCTCCCTGGGTCAGGAAGGGAGGCTGCATCTCTTAATCATACATAGAGTCCAGGCCAAAGCCTGCCAACACCACGCTCAAGTAATTGCTAGGACGATTTCCCTGAATTTTATGGTGAATGTTTCTTTGATTGGCTCTTGGCAGCAGTAAGAGCAGGTTGAAGAAACCAAGGTTCAGCCAAGCGAGCAATAGTCTAGAAAGTCATCCTATGAAAAGGCTATGTTAGGGGTCACAGACTCAGCCAGAGGACTGCCTTTGGCCCACAGATGTTTTTGGCTCAGGCAATGTTTTCAAGTAATTGCCAACAACATTCAGCTCTGGGAAAAGTTCACATAAAAACTCTGATTTTTGTCATGAAATATAGTGGTGTGTGTGTGTGTGTGTGTGTGTGTGTGTGCGTGTGTGTTTCTAGGGATTGAACCTAGGGCCTCATACATGCTAGGCAAGAGCTCTACCACTGAGCTACACCCACCATTCCTCAATATACACTTTTTTGTTTTTTTTTGAGGCAGGATCTTATGTAGACCAGGATGGCCTAGAACTCATTATATATTATTGGAGATATTATCTCCAGCTCATTGTGTAGCTGAGGAGGACCTTAATTTCTGATCTTCCTGCCTTCATCTCCTGAGTGCCGGGATTACAGGTGAGTGCCACTGTGCCCTGTTTATGCAGTGCTGGGAATCAAACCCAGGGCTTCATGCATGCTAGCCAAGCACTCTACTGAACCTCATGCTCAGCCCATCATCTACTTTCTGACATACTCATGGGGATCACTAGTCCTTGAATAATGTAGCTCATTAAGAAGCAATGGAGTGGGGGGGGGGGCTGTGAGATCACTCAGTTAGTACAGGTGCTTGCTGCCAAACCTGATGACCTGAGTTTGGCCCCTGGGATCCACACGGTGGGAGGAGAGAACTGATTCCCAAAAGTTGTCTTCTGACCTCCACACTTGTGCCATGACACTTAGCCAAACACATGCACACACACACACATACACAAAATAGTGTCATAACAACAGCAACTATAATAAAAGAAATAATGGGTCAGACTAGGAGAATGAAATGATACCCATAGGAAATTGTGGGAAGAAGAAAGGAAATTCTAGCACATGAGTTTGCTTTTCCTCCAGCCCTTTTCCATTGATCCGGTCTATTGAAGTGATTCACTGAGAAATGCCAACTTACATGGAATGCATAAACTAAGAGAAACACAAAACTTGGCTTAAAATAGACATTTTTTTCCCCCTAGATCTGGATTAAGAAAGAGCACAGTTGAAGTTTGTTTGTTTGTTTCATGGCTGTTGTGGCTTGCATGCTGGGCCAAACAGAAGCTGCCTCTTACCTCAGGATGGGGACAAGCCACTCACCTTGTCAACCAGTGAGTCAATGAAAGGGAAGAAAGGGAGAGAATGGATGAAAAGGAGACAGTGGAGACATTCTATGAGAAAAGAAAATCAGCCAGCACGGAGCGTGAAGCCCTTTATGAATGGTCACGTTTCGTTAGTATGAAAGATAAGCAAAACAATGAGGGCTAGGTAAAAGGACACAGCTCCTCTGTTGTAAAGACAGAGGTGTTGTTGTTTCTGCTCTTTTGGGGGCCCGCCACTTAGCTCCCAAATAAATCACACATGGAGGCTTATTCTTAATTATAAATGTCTGGTCTTAGCTTGGCTTGTTTCTTGCCAGCTTTTCTTAAATTATTCCCGCCTGTCTTTTGCCTCTGGGCCTATACCTTTCTCTATTCCTGTATACCTTTCTTTCTTACTCCGATGCTGGTTGTGTAGCTGGGTGGCTGGTCCCAGACGTCCTCCCCTCTCCCAGATTTCTCCTCCTATTTATTTTCTCTGCCTGCCAGCCCCGCCTATCCTTTCTCCTGCCTTGCTATTGGCCATTCAGCTCTTTATTAGACCATCAGGTATTTGAGACAGGCACAGTCACACAGCTTCACAGAGTTAAACAAATGCAACATAAACAAAAGTAACACACCTTAGAATAATATTCCCCAACATACACGTGAACAACTTCGGAAGTGAGAGAGAAGAAAGGGGCGGCCATTGGGTTCTGCCAAGCCCGTTCCTTCCCCCAGCCTTTCCTCCCCCTCCCCTCACCTGGAAGGTCCTTTCTCCTCGCTCTGCCTATCCAAGTCTTGCAGTCTCAGATCTGACAAAAGTTCCCAGGCTCCCATGGTTTCCCCAGATCCCTCCTCCCCAGATCCCTCCCTTAGCCCATCTGCTGTGGCCTCACAAGTCCCTCTAGATTGAGTATATTGTCCTGAAAGACTCTTGTATGTGTGTATTATAAGCCCCTTGTAAACTCCTTGAGAACAAGGGCCATTTCTTCTGTTCCTGCTTCATCTCCCATAGTGCTGATGGCCTAAGAGGCCCTCTGTATGGCCCTGCTGCCTCAGACTGGAGAGTTCAGCTCAGCTCTCAAGCTTTTGCCAGCAACGCAAGGGGCACACAATAAAGTCCTTTCACTATTAACCAGCAGATCCAAAGATAGAGTGGCTGAGAAAGTACACACGAAGAATCATTCATTGTCTCAAATCTCTCCTGGGAGCCAGAGCCTGGGATCCCCAGGTTAGATGTGGAAGCAACTTTGATACATTGTATGCGATGGCATCTTAGGTTAGTATTTCATTTTGATGGAATGTATAAACGAGCTGATGAAAACATGGAGCTGGGAATGTTCCTCAGCTTTTCTTTAGCATTGCTCAGGGTCTGGAGTCCTGGAGTAGTGGAGACCTGGAGTGCTAGGTCAGCATTACAAACAAACAAACAAACAAACAAATAAATAAATAAATAAGAGCAACAAATAGTAAGTATTTGGGTTACACCAAAGGATCAAAGGAAGTAAAGGTTTTCTTGTATGCCATTGATTGGTATTTCCTAAACCTCCCTACCCCCATCATGTTCATAGTCAAGAGTTCATAGGGGGAAACTATTGTTTTTCGTATTTTAATGCTGTCAGTGCTACCAAAGAGCAAATGTGTGTGTTGGGTATGTGTGGGGGGGAAGGGGGAGGTTGTCTCCCACTGCCATTATTTCCTTCCTTCCGTTCCCACTCCCTTCTTCCCTCCCCTCCCCTCCTTTCTTTCTAGCCAGGGCCTCAATATGCAGCCCTAGCTGGCCTTAGGAGATCTGCCTGCCTCTGCCTCTCGAATGCTAAAATTAAAGATATGAGCCACCCTGCCCAGCCATCTGCCGTTATTTCTATTGCTGAATGTTGCAGTGCTTTTTAGGGTATAAATAGCAATCAGCATTTAGGAAA